GACTCTGGCTGGCCTTATAGCCTTATCTGGGCCCGGCTAGGTTGCCTGGGTGTAGCTGGGATGTGTGGGCAGTGCCTGGAGAGGGTGGTGCTGGTGGTCCCAGAGGCCTGCTTTGGGCATAGTTTGCACCCCTCAAGGGACAAGGTTCCAGCTGTCTGTCCCCACAGACCCCAGTCCACATGGACGGCAGACCTTCCAGACTTGGCCCAGGCCCAGGTCTTGCCCCATCCAAACTCCACCCCGGCACCCCCACCTTACCCCTGCCCCTTCCAAACCTTACCCAGGCCAAGCCTTGGGTCATGCCTAGAGCCCACTCACCCCCCCTCCACCCTAGCCTGCATCCAGCACCCCCTCCCTAGCATTATTCACCCGGCCCTCACCCTGGGCTAGCCCCAGTAGCTTAGGGGCTTACACATGGGGCTGCCAAGGCAAGGTCAGCAGTTCGAGACAATAAAAAAGGAAGCCCAGAGGGGGCCGCGTGCATTTGCAGTGGGGTGCTGGTGAAGAATACTGAATGGACTTTGGACTTCCAGAACAAAGAATGAATGTAACTTGGAAGAAATTTAGCGAGGATGTGCTTCTTAGAGGGAGCATGACAAGGTTTCTTCGCTCCACGCTCCACGCACTGCGGACCTCCCTCGTGTTCAGGAGCGGCCAGCCCCTTGAGAGGAACGTCGTGCCTGGAAAAGCAGAGTCAGTGGAGACCGAGCGATGACAGGGCCTGACGCAGTGGCTGCAGCAATGGACCCGAACGCGCTGCACAAGGACCACGAGGACAGGGCGGACCGGCCAGTGGCTCCTGCTGTCCGTGGGGTCCCCACGAGTGAGGACCAAGTCTAAGGTGACCAGACGTCCCGCTTTTGGCGAGACAGTCCCGATTTTAAACAATTTGTCCTGCATCCTGCGGCGTTTTTAAAAAGTCCCGATTTTTGGAAAGAATGCGCAACAAGCTAGGCAACGGCGGGAGAACGGGAAGGGAATATACGTTTTCGGCTGCCATGTGGTTATTTCGCCAGGATATGAGTTTTATATTATTTTTGTTAATTTTATGTTAAACTTTAATAATAACAAATAATTGTTGAGAACTGATTATCGAGAACTGCTTATCAAAGTTCGCATTGTTGATCAGTTGTTAGAATTCGACCACATTGTTTGGACTTAATGAACAATGGCATTTTTTGGCATCGGCAACAACGAAAACACTTTGTAACTGTCTCTCAGACGATGCACATCGTACCGCGTGCTAGTGCTAGTTAACAAGTGATGTCAACAAATCAGCTAGTCAGATAATTTAGGTCAGTAATTTATTTATTTCATAAATACATGAATTTTCTTGAATTTAGCAGACAGTACTGGAATGATGTGCAAAAAATAATTCCATCATATTACTCAAAATTTCCCATATAGCAATATTTCTGAAAATGATCTTTTTAATGAGGTATCATTATTAAAAAATATATTGATAAGGAAAAGGTTAAATCTTGGGCATCAGCAAAAATCACAATAGAGAACAAATGGTTGGAAATATTTCATCATTTTGAAACAAACCATGCTCCATACAATAACGCACTAAAAATTGTGGAATATGTGCTGTCCTTACCAGGAACTAATGCTGCGACTGAACGCGTTTTTTCTACAGTAAATAAAGTGTGGACATCAGAAAATTCACAATTAAGT